AACAATTTATAGTTATAATAATTTATAATGTATTATTACAGCCTAGCAGCAAATGAGCACAGCTTTTCGAAGGATTAGAAAAATGGCCTGTTATTATAAGTGAAGTTTCAAATAAATGTGAACTGTAAATATACCTTAATGTTAAATCACACCTCGCATTAAAGTTACATCAAAAACTGTAATTTTACATTCTTTCTATCCATTTCACTTAGTTTCTTTTTTTTTTTTTTCAGATATGTACTCGAGATGATAATAAATGTTGCACAAGTTATTCAAAATTTAACAAAGACTTCTTTCGTTTAATACTTAATATTTGTGAAAAATCCTTAATTAACAATCAAGCTAATCATGGTAGAATTCTGATCTTTTTAGGACCGGGTAGACCGACTACTCCTAATGAAGTTTTTCCAGAATTTCTAATGTATTTGTCGAAACCTGAAAAGTTTTCAAAAATCTTTTGATTTTTTAGATATCGTGCAGTTTACAGCAGTTGTGGATAAATCAGAATGTTAGGTACTTAATTGTTAGCAACCTCTTGATTTTAAGTGATGATGAGATCGGATCTCTAAGTGAAACAAAAATGTTAACCAACTGAAGGTAATGTTACGTCATATTAGAAAAATTATTTTACTTCTTTTAGATGTCGTGATTTTCTTTTAGTATTATTTTCCTGCATTCTATAAATTAAAAAGCATTTAATAAAATATAAGAAAAAAGCCTTTTTTAACTTATCTAGTTTTACCCAATACAAGAATAATAAAAAATATAAATAAATAAAAGAAAAATCTGAAAGGTTTCAGGTTTTAAATTAACTCCAAAGGAGTGTTTTTTTAACGTTTTGTGTGTTTCCTTTATTTATTAAATGTCATGTTCTACGTACTCAAACTATAAAATTCAGTTCAACTGCAATATCGCAAATTAATTTTAAAATTAGCATATCTTTAGAATTTCCTTCCGATACAGAGTCTCGCGCGCTGGAGATAATGTTTTTTTTTTCGTACAGTGTTGCCATTGCACGCTTTGAAATCATTTAATTTTTTTAATCAAAAATTCGTTTAATTTTTTTAATCAAAAAGTGTTACAAAATCTAAAATCGATAATAAAACAGATTTCAAATTCAAATTAGGGCTTCACAGCCCATATATAGAAGATTACGTTATTCAATTTTGATGGTTTAGGTACCATCGCTTATCACAATGCGAGAAATACACCATTTATGCAGATTCTTCGTTATTTTAATTTCTTTAAATATAGACAGGGCGATAATATGGTGGCAACGATTTGAAAAGTGATACAGCCTTTTAAAGTTTTCAGCGCAAAATGTCAAAACGAAATTAATAGTCCTTCAGGGCAAATTGCCCCTTTGGATTAATAATATAAAGGTATTTTGATTATTAACGAATTCTTAGGTATATCCCACTAAAAATAAAACTGTAGATCGCTAGCAATGGAGAATATGAAATAAAACATTTTAAGAGAAATGTAAGTGTATCGAAAATAATCAGTTTTATATATGTTATTTCTATACTATCATTTGAATAATTCCTCAAAATCCTCTTAATGTCCATATTAGCGCAAGGCAACCCTAGGATCTCACTTTAGTCAAATATACAAGGAATATTATTATAACTAGAAATGTATCTTTTATGTTTTAGAACATTTGATTAAAACCCTATAACTGATAATTTTTTTATGTATTTTATGTTCGTCTGCACTAACAGAACTACAAAGCATATAGTATATATTGGATAACATGTTAAAATACTGCAGGTTACCTAAACCTAAATGTGCTTACACACTCACCGAAGTGTGTAAGTTTTTTTTAGGCTCGATTCTAGTAGCGGCGGACCTTTCCGATGTGTAAAATAAATGCGAATGAGGCCTCCTTCGAAAATCTTTCACGATAGTAATTTTCTACGCCGGAAATTCTTCGCCAAGCACGCTTCAGCAGATTACACGCTTTATCTAAGCTTCTCTTTAACATCAACTGAATGCGAAAAGTCCGAAGTTTTAACGTACTTTATTAATATTATAAATGAGGCTAAAAGGCATGTAGAAAAGTTCCTTCACTCCAGAAAGAAATTTAGTTTTGAACTCAAGCGAAATTCTCGTACTTCATATGCATCATATTAATTTACTTAAATCATAGGTCATAATAAACGTTTCTGAGTAAATTACTTTTCTGTCAATAATTTAAAATTAATAAGTTTTTCTGTACTAAATTGTTGCATTAACTAACCAGTTATCTTATTACTTTGTCTGCACTTCTACTTTCCTCGGCTTCCATCAAGATGCAAATTAATTGGTGTATTTAAGCATTGAATTCTTGAGTTCGAGAGAGAGCCTTGGGCAATCTCTGACCGTCATTATATTAATTCCGCTGCGCCTAAATTACTCAAATCGGCTTTAGTTTTGTTAGTTGTAATTGCTTCGTGAGAGATACAGGAGCCTGGAATCGTTTGAAGGTGAGCTTTATTTTGCATTTAATATTTTAATTTTACTTGAGCATTTCATCTGATTTTTCTACAATCTGTGGAAATTAACCCAAAAGGTTCTTATCGGAACCAAAAGGTTCTTTCGCTATACACGGGGTTCGTTATAAGTCGGTTTCGTTTTAACCAAGTTCGACGGTATGTATAAAATCTCTGTCAAAGAAATGGGGACATTAAGGAAAAAAGAGGGAAAGTCTAGATGTCATCAGAACAACAACTGACCTCACGAGCAATTGTCCGCTTTATATAGCGTAGAATTAGACATTATATAGCATTTGACTTTGCTAAGAGAATGGTGGTGACCATTTTCAGCATCTCCTCTAGTTGATATACTTCTCACGGTGAAAAATATGTAGCCACGTACACATTTTCCAAATTTAATAAAGAGTTTCTAGGGTCTAGTACGAAAGAACCACCCTATGCTTTACATTACTATTATCAGGGTATAGGATATATCATCTGTAATTTTATAAAAGGTTACCCACGTGAGAAAATGTCCGCACATTTTGCTCTATATATTACGTTTTCCCGGTGAAACAAACAGAAAATTTTGAACTTTGGAAAAACTTTACTTTTAAGCTCAAGTACTTTCATAAAGCAAACTAAAAAATTTTTGTACCAAGTTTTGTATTCTAGAAATAATTTTAAGTTAAATAAAAGTGTTTCTTAAATAAACCTTGATAAAATGAATTAGTTCTTTGCCACTATAAACTGTCAACACTTTAACCATATATTGCAGATCCCAAGAGGACTGAAGTTGCAACGAAGAGATATAGTCAAAAAATAAATGTGACGTAATTATCATCTGGCAGAACAAGACAAGAAAAGATATGGCAGCCTACAACACATTCCCCATAGAAAACGTCGATGTGACATTAATTGACAGGCACACGATGAAAGATGACTTAGCTCTATTTTGGGAAAATCCTTACGAAGAAAGGAAACGATTTCCCCTTCAAGCGAATGGAGAAAAATTTCCAAATATAAGTTCTGTGCCTTTAGCAGTGTTTAGAAGATGTTAAACATACAGTAGAAATTTATTTAAAACAGATATGAGTTTGAATAATATATGGTGCGTATAATTTAAAAAAATTGTATCGTATCATCATAGCAATTTAAGTTTTAGATCATTGAAACGGAAACAAAAAATGAATTTCATTCTGTGAGTCGAGGATCAGGTTCAGGTTTACTAAAGCATGGTAAAAATGCATACCATTATGGTCGTTGCAAAAAGTCCCCATAAAGTAATAAATTTTTCATCGATAATTTCGAAAAGGCTAAAATGTATGTTCTAATTATGTTAGTCATTAGGCTATTTTGAAGCCAGAGACGTGAAAAATGCTAAGTTCCCTCGCCGGGACTCGAACCCTGGACTTCTGGAATAGGCGTCGACCGTGCTTCCAATTACACCACGAAGTCATTCCAAAAGGGGGGAGAAAATAACTTGTGGAGATTCGTTTATTTTGATTAATTGTTAATTTTTAATTAAAACAACTTTCCTTTGACTCTCCTTTTCACCCACGCTTTCCTGCCAGAATGCTAATCAGTTAGCGCGGGTTTATTAAAATTAAGGGAGAAAGAAGTGCTGTTTAAGCGAAGGTTTCGGAAAGTGATTTTAAAGCTCTTATGTAATTTTAGTTTAGCTAGAATCTTACAAATGAATTTAATTTCGAATACAAAAGTATTTAGTGTTTATAGAATTAGTAATTAATGATTCAAATTAGATAAAATAACAGTTCAGTTAATGGTGAATGGGGACAAGTTGATCTTTATCACTGGTTAACAGATATTGTCCCACATTCACCATTAACTAGATTTATTTTAATTTTAAATATTAATAAGTAATTTTTTACATTTTTCAAATTATAATATAAAAACCCTTTAATTGTTTCCACTTCTAGTCAAGATGAAGCTCGTTTTAGTTTTAAAAGGTATGGAAACGAAAGCAAGGAATATGCTATGCATTATAAAGCAGGTAATTACAGAATTTATTATAGCATCTAAGTGCTACCCATTAATCTTCTAAAAAAACCCTTTCTTTCATCATAAAGATAACGTTTATTATTTTCTAATTTACATCATCGTTGAATATTCATATAAATAAACTTTCTATTGCATCATTTAATATTTAATTGCTGAACATTTGAATTATTATTAGTAACTTTCATCACCTTGCAATATATAAAAAACAACATTAGACCTGAGGTGTTAAAGAAATATACTTTTATACATAAAAATAGTCAATACTAAGGAATCAGAGGTGGGTTAAAAGACTTCTAAAACTCCAAGTGCTATAGTAGCAATAACCAAAAAGTTCACTGAAATTTCTGATGATGCAGACAATATAAGTTAAAAGCATCAAACAATAGACTGACTTTCTCCCCCCCCCCAAAAAAAAAACTAGCAGAACTGAAGCTCTAGTACAAAACTATACGCAAATAATTCTGTGTTATGTGATAGTTTAACGATTTCTAAAATGCTAGGCCGAAAAAAGAAAAATCGACTTACCTTATATACATCAAAATTCTCAATAATTGAATCAAAGCATGTATATAAATCATTCAGAAGATCAACTACCTAAAACAAAAATTGAAATTTACATAAAAATCTTATTAAATCAAATGCTTATCTTTATGTCAATAACATAGGAAAGTACATAGAAAAATTTCATTATTAAAATCCATTTAAAACCCGTATTTAAAATATTTAAAATAATATTGTTAACCTTGGAGGAAATAAATCGATATGAACATCAATTAGGAGGTTTATACATTAATTTTAGAAACTTGTATGTTACAACCATCATTAGTGGAAAGCAGCGGAGCATCTAAGATGGTTAATTGTTCTTTAATCACCGCTTCTAATCATTAAAAGTCGATAACAAGAGTAAAATAATTTAGCTTTAAAAATTATCTAAAATTTTTATTTCATAATTATGAAGGAGTTTTTTATATTCCAATGAAGAATATAATCTCCTTCTAAAGGTAAAGAGTCCATTAGAAGTACACGCGATGAATAAATTTAGATAATGACGGCTAACATTGTAAAAATGCACGAATTTCCGAATAGTTCCTGAAAAAGTTGTATGTTATGACATCTCATTTTTCACTTTTTTCCTGCTTTAATGCTTTAATTAGTAGCATTTGTTTGAGTTCTTTTCTGTGATGTGGACTCTCTAAGTTTAACACTTATTTTATATTTTTCATCTTGCTTTTTAATATTGCTCATCTTTATTGTTTTCTCACCAAGTACCAGTTTCATTAAACTGTTAAATTGGAGAACTTCACTCATTTACATGTATGAAAGAATTTTGATTATTATGCTCACATTCTTGCATAGAAATAGGAATGCGTAAATTTTCTGCTTAGATCTGCTTAGCCAAAACCCGATGTTATCCATTGTCATTAGAAGCTAGTGAATGGTAAATGTATTTCGAATATTTAGCAGTTTATAATGGAAAAAGTGCGGAAAGGTCAATCATTTTCGCAGTGACTACATTTTGAACTTTGCTCGTACCATACGTAATCCTGGAAACTTATGTTTTCTATGAGCTTTCTAATTTTAAAAGTTTTCTTTTCCCTTTTAATATGGGAAATACTAGTACATCTTCACCAAATTATTATAGTGAAGATGATTTAATGATGGTAATAATTCGGGTAAACAACAAAAATATACCAAGAAGGAGTAGTTGTGGCTAATAAAGTCATACAAAATGGATAAACACAATATATTTAGTTAGAAAATATATAATCTTTACTACGTTTCACTGTCATCGAATTCATATTTTCTGGTTTTCGAACTATGTTATGAGTGAAATATAAAATTAGCCCTTTCATGTATAGAAAAATCGATCTTAATCGTAATTTTTACTTATTTCAGAAACTAGTTCTGGTACTGGGAAAGAGAAACGTGAAAATTCTTCACAGTTTACCAAATAATTTTATATTTCACACTAAATCCACTATAACAATGAAGCCGGGGGCTGTAATTTAGGGCTTAAATTTCACCAATAGCAATTAAAAATCCCAAAACGAATAACTCCTTTTAAAAAATCAGTAGATTCAGCTTACATATAAGATATTTATTTGAACAGGAAATAGTGGTTCAGATGTTTAAAATACTGAAAACATTTCAATCCAGTTTTTTTGGCCTCCCTCTCAAAAAAATAAATAAATAAATAAATAAATAAATAAAAATAAAAATAAAAATAAAAATAATCTACAAAAATGACATCGAAGTGTGAGTGCGTTTCAGCAAGTTATAAAAATTTTAAACCTTTTTCGGAAAGGTAAATTCTTCTTGAGCATGCGGTATTTATATTTACGCTTTTCTACCGAAATGTTATTTAATATACATTTTGAAGTCTGAAGACGGTTTAATATACATCTTTTGATTTTAATATACATCTTTGAAGTTTCATCGTGAAGTTTCGCGGTGTTTGTGACTCCAACGCTGGTCTCGAACTGAATAATGTACAGTAAAGATGGGTTCAGATTTGATAAGTGGTACCTTTGAGTTTCTGTTGCTGCCTAGGCTAAGTTTGTAGGTTTTAACATAGTTAATTAAATTGTTGAAAGTATAGCCAAGTCACAGAATAACGCTAGAAACTTTGTTAAGTGGAAGGACTCTAAAAATGAAAATTATGATAACACACAATTTACGATGAACATTTTAAAATTTTAAATGTAAAATTGTGAACGTAAAAAATAGAAATGTATTTGAAATATTACGTACGTTATCACATACATTCCATCAAAGTTACGTATGAAAATTTCATAAATTCTTTTCCAAAAATAATCAGATACTTTAGTTTCTTTTGGTTGTTGGGAACATTTCATGTCATAGTAAGCCTCACATCTTTCTAATGCAAAGCGTCTTCTGGTATATTTTATCCCAACTGAAAACCGTGGCATAAAGTATCATATGCATTTAGAATGATTTTCGGCGAAGATTTTGGACATTTATTTACGTTAATGGTTTTATTTTTATCATCATCAATAGCTTTCTGGCTGCTAATTTTTAAGTTCTTCATGATGTCATCTTCAATAAGAATTCTTGAGATCTCAGCTTTGCTTTTTATAAATAAATAACCATGTAATTGTTCATTATTCTTTAATTATCCTCGATGTTTCAACACCAACCTCATATTATTCAATTCCTCATCTTGCACATCGTCGTTGTCGACAGTATTATTATCGGTAGTATCAATATTGCGGATAAAGCCAGTTTTTTTTTCCTTTTTTTTTTTTTTTTTTTTTTTTTTTTTTTTTTAAGAAACTGCGAACAGATTTTTCAGTGATAGCTCACAATTCCATATCATTGTAAGTTCAGATACACAGTCAAGTAAACTTATTACATAAAGTCTGATTACCTTTAATTTCCATTAGGACCTTTTAAAAAATTCTTTTTGCCATAATGCGTCTCAATACTTCTTATCAGGCAAGATGAAAAATTAGCAACCGCCTTCGCCGGGAATCGAACCGCGGGCCTCTCAATTACGCGCTGAGTGTGCTGACTACTACACCACGAAGGCTCGCTAAAAGGCGGGCGAAATACCTTATAATCTTCTCATCCACAAGCTGCAGTTTCGCGATGGTACTTAAAGGACTGAAAAAAAACTTGACTTAAAGTTTTATACTTGTCTTTGATATTTTGAGGGTGAGGACTGCATATACCTATCATTAGAGCAATTTTCGCTTCTGTATAATTATGTATTTATCTAAATGTTTTAGACACTTTTCAAGAATGTCTGAGGACATCCATGAGATCTTGTTAAGATCAAAAATCGATCTTAATCGTAATTTTTACTTATTTCAGAAACTAGTTCTGGTACTGGGAAAGAGGAACGTGAAAATTCTTCACAGTTTACCAAATAATTTTATATTTCACACTAAATCCACTATAACAATGAAGCCGGGGGCTGTAATTTAGGGCTTAAATTTCACCAATAGCAATTAAAAATCCCAAAACGAATAACTCCTTTTAAAAAATCAGTAGATTCAGCTACTGAATCTACTGATATTACTATTCAATCTGTTTCAAAATTCAAATCTGTTCTGATTTAATACAACTCTAAAAGATCTTGGATTTTTACGCTTTCTTATAAGTACAGCTTTCAGTTTTTCATTTCCTTCCATATTTGCATATAGCAGTAAAGTAGTTTTTAACTTTGCCGTGCTTGCCTTAAAAAAATATGACGTTTTTGAATGTTAGTGTTCTCTGAGATAAGCATTATCTAAAAAAAAAAAAAAAAAAAAAAAGCCGGCGAGATCTCAGGGATCATTCACACGATGGCCTATTATTGTCCTAAGCCTAAGGTGTAGAAGTCATAAAGTCCTTTCACACCTCTGGATCAGCGATAGCCAATCATCGATGGTAAAGTTGAGCATGCTGAAATGAACAGCTGACTCAGAGAAATCGTCGACTGAATGTTAGTTCATATTTGTTTCGCTGAGCCTGGTCGATTTTATACAAGACTGGCATAAAGTGGAATAATTAGAGCATTTAGAAAAATCCTTATACCAATTTCTGTGACGTAGAAAGATCTGGTTGCATAGCAGGGAAGCATGAATTATCCATGTATGAAAACAAAGCTCTCCTCTGCACAATCCCTTACTCTCCATGTCATAGCCCACAATAAGTCTCATGAATTTTTAAAGTGATATATAACTGAAGTTAGTAAAAATTCCGATTAAATTGATTTACTTAATATCTTGGATAAATTTACCTTGATGAAATTCATATGATTAGAAAGAATGATGGTAATTATAAATATTTCATCCGGTAAATAAAAATTAATGTGCATAGAGAAATTTGAATAGAAAGAAATACTCTATATTTTTCACATTACTAGCTGAATGTATAATGAATATACAAAATTCTGATTTATGATGACAAATTCTGCTGGGAACAGAATAACGATTTCATTAAAGGGTTTTAGTTTTTTTATTGTATCCTGATTTCGAAAGTATGGAAAAACAGAAAAAATTACTTTCTATTATTTTGACAAATTCTAAGTTATTAGACGAAAGTATATTATCGAACAGTTAAAATATTCTTTTAGTTACTAAATATAGCAAATGCGAAAATTAAATTTCAGTAGTATGGATATAGAAATGGCTTAGGGGGATTAAAAATTCCATCGTCGCATAACTCACATAACAAAAATATCATTATTATTGTAATTTCGTAAAATAAATTTTGAAAATTATAATAAACCAAAAAGAGGGGGGGGATTAAAAGATGGAGAAGATTAGTTTTACAAAATATGCTATTAGATAAAAGAATATTTAACGCAAGTCAACACCAGAACAAAAGTAAGACGTAATGCAAGCTAGAGTTTAAAAGTTTCCATTAACATCTGCAAAAAATCTTATTTCTTATTTCAAGGAAAATAAATGTTGCATTTCTTTTTTACAAGGCGTGCTTTTGGAAGCAGGAATATCATAACATGGAGTTTTTCACTGCCGCGAATTCAGTTTGGAATGTGTGCCTGTCGTTTCCCCGGTTTGTAAACGTAGAAAGTTTGCTCTCTGTTGGCATTAAAGGACGATCATTAAAGAAATGAATCCCATCTCTTGCAGCTTAATTGCTCCCTGCTGTCATTAGAGAAAATCGCGTGAGTAATTGAAGCACTTACTTCCATAGGAGTGCTCTCCGCTGACATCTCTGTGAAACCGACAATGTCGCTGAAATAAATGGTGACGCCGTCAAATGCCTCGGCTGTCACAGATTCACCTCTGATCAGCTGGCTGGCCACAGACCTGAAAAAAAATGACACAGAACGTCTTCAAACAAGTATATGTCCAAGAGTTAAAAAAAAAAGAATTTTTGTCTCTATAATAAGTAAATCGATCTGCACTGAAACTTTCGATATCCTAGTAACAAATACAAGTATTCAGTGGAAATGCATTCTATACTCTAACATTTTTATAATGATTTCCAGTATTATAGTGCAATTGAAGAAACGGATACAAAAATGATGATTTATTTGCTTGATATAGAAAAAAATACGTTATTTAGTTAATAAAAATGATTTATTTGTCTTTTTTTTTCCTACACTGGTGTGCAAAACTTAAGCAACAGATGTTCTTTTTGCCATAACTCCAACAGAAATCATCTGAGAGATATGAAATTCAGAAATGTAAGACAGCAGTTTGTATTTAAACAATGACGAAACCATGGGTGCACAAAAATTAATACAATGCGAACAGTATGGAATCAAACAAAAAAAGGCTTTATTGAACTCATAGTATCGTTACACATGATTGTCTGTACAAGAGGAATAACAGCAGATCTTCCATAGTATGGGATATGTCCTCCCCTTACTGCAATGGTTGCTTCGCACCGTCTCTCCATACTCAGCACCAGACTGTCCAACAGAACTTGAGGTAAGAGTGCCCATTCCTCAATCACCATCTGTTTCAGTTGTTCGGTGCTCCCGGAGAATGTTATTTTGCCGCAAGGCATCTCCCCAAAGCATCCCACACATGTTCTATTGGATTTAAATCAGGGGAGTACGCTAGCCAATCCATTCGAGTGATATCTTCACTTTTCGGTAGGTTCTGAACAGCAGGAGTCCGGTGTGGCCGTAATTGTCATCCATAAAATCGGTCTATTTTTTAACATGCCTTTGTGGTGTAGTGGTCAGCACGCTCGACGCATATTCGAGAGGTACGTGGTTCGAGTCCCGCGGCGAGGGCATTTCTCATTTTTCGTCGCTCCTGCTTTCAAAAATCCTAATGTCTCTACAACATATGGTTAGTCTATGAGTCCGTTCCAAAATATAATAATGAATTTTGCATGCAGTTCTCTGTAATTATCCTTTTTGAAATAATATTATTACTTTTATGCGTTGCAAAAATTTATCAGATATTGTACATATTTTAAAGCGAAACTCATGAAACGTCTTCGTACTGATGTTTTTGAACTCTCAAAATATTCCGTTTTCATTATATAGTACACAATATTATAAAACATTCTTTTTTTTTTTTTTTTACAGTTTATTTCTTTAAAATCTGTTTTGTCCTTCTTCTTCAGAAGCAGTTTTCTTTTTGGGCTTTTAAAGAAAAAAAACTTGCATAAATCGTCAAGCTCATTTTTGGAATAAACACCTTAAAGTTGAATTTCTCAGTTTATCTAGAACATATGAATTATTTTATCTAGAATTGATTCATTGATGAATTAATTGCTCGTTTGTATTTTTCTTGGGTTATGGTTTTAAGTATTAAACTTTTTTATATGTAAAACATTGTTGTTAATTGTCATTTTTATACACCTCAAGGTAAAAGAAAACATATATCGTCTGTAAAATAAAAAAAATTTTAAGTATTATTTGATTTATTGATAAGAATTTTCTCATTCGTATTTTGTATTGAAGGAAAATCCGTTTTATCAGTTCAGTTCTTTTAGATTAGCCTTCACTTTATTATTTGCACGTTCATTGTTTTCTTTTCTAATTTTATTAATGTAGATCGATATTTATGTTTGTAATGATTAGTTTAGCATAGTTATGTTTCCATGGTAATATGGCTATTTTTCTTCAGAGTGTACATTCAATAATACAGAGAGCTTTATGGAAATTAAAACAATACAGATATCATTTCAAATCTACGTAAATAAGAGATGTTCAAAATTTTGAATTTCCTAAAATGATATATAAAACTATCGGCGTTCAATACAAAATATATTTCCCTGCTGGCGACGCTGAAGAATACAGAAAGCGCGCTTCATTACCGATTTTCACGATGCCCACTATTAAAAGGCGTTAGAAAGTAATATATATTAGTATTCATTTGTAAAGTAACTTTCCTGAAAGACGGACATCTTGTCCACGTCAGGTATACCATTATAAAATTGCACTTTTTTACCTCCGCCAACCTATTTACAAAAGGTAAGGAAGGTGATGTTTTCGGTACAGAAATTCGGCAGTTAGGCTTTAGTGAATGAATATGTTTTTATTATTTTTAGAATGCTGTATGTCTGTGTAGATATATGCGACGATATTTTTGATCACGATATCTCTGATATGCTACTTCTAAAAATTTCCATTTTCTATATTGAACCTTTTGGCATTCATATATAATATTATGTAGATTTTGGGTAAAATTTGGCAACCGGAAGTTGAACTTTACTTGAAGTCCATAACAATTTTTAATGGGCAACCGGAAGTGCTGCTCTACTTGAAGCCCTAACAGCTCTTAATCAAAACATGTTACAAAAGAATCTAAAATTCTCCAATTTAAAAAATTAAGACTTTTAACATATTAGATTTTGGCTAAAATTTATAATCTGGAAGTGATACTTTACTTGAACTTGTAGAGCCATGAGGTTATTTTTGGAAGCAGGAGAAGTGAAAAATGAGGAACACCTTATCCGGGAATCGAACCACAGACCTCTGAAATACGCGCCCAGCTTGCTGACAACTACACTACGAAGGCATGTTATACCTTACATACTACCCCCATTAAAGTGCGACTGGGGCTTAGGGGATCCAATCGCCATATCCTGGGTGTGGAGAATCATCATCCACCACTCTTTTAGTTTGGCCACCGCTATAGAGACATTAGGTATTTTTTGAAAAGCAAGAAAGATAAAAAATGAGCAATGCTCTCGCCGGGAATCGAATTACGGACCTCTGGAATACGCGGCCAGCGTAATGACCACTACACTACGAAGGTATGCTAAGAAGGCGGGAGAAATACCTTATAAACTTACTTGATACTTACTGAACAGACTTTCGTAAGAAGTATATTATGAGATAATCCAAAACTTCTCAAATGTAGTCTTTAAAATTGAAATGTGACTCAGAACAACTTATTAAATGTATTAGCAATTAATTGTCGAAGCAATTAAATGTATTAGCTTCAATCTGAAATTTTGTGGTTGTTTCACTTTTGTATGCCATCACGTTTTAAATAAAAGGAAACTACCACCAAAAATTATCGCTATGGTATTATTTTTAAACAAATAAAGTAATAAATATAATAGTATAGCGAAGGTAAAAAAAATATGGCAATACGTAACACACTAATAGAATTCTAATGATATGCTGCTTTTAAAGATTTTGTGATTTGGTGATACATGTTGTATTGCGTACTTGCAGAGAAAGTGATATTTAATAAATACAGCTAATCTGGTGTTGGTGTATTTAATTATGGCAAAGCACACTAGGGCTATCTGCCTAAGGGGAGGGATGCCTTCGTGGAGGACGTTTTAAGGGGAACTGGCTCATATACACGTTACACATGGAAAAAACCACGAAAACACCCATGCAGCCAGCCCGTTCGCGGGACTGGAACCTCGGACCGAACTACCAGTGTTCAGCTACTTTACCGCTCGGCCGCTGGTGGGCCCCTAAATACAGCTAAAATGAGAAATAAAAAGATTTGTCATCTTATTAAGAAACCTAAACTGAGAAAAAGTAATATATCATGAACTCAGAAAAACTAATATATCATGAACTGAGAAAAATTAATATATCATGAGCTGAGAAAAACTAATATATCATGAATTGAGAAAAACTAATATATCACGAACTGACAAAAACTAATATACCATGAACTGAGAAAAACTGGAAAAATATAAGGCTACACTTAAAGTTCTGTATGACCAGAGGATATACTACGATCGATGTAATATTTTAAAACGAAAGTAAGAGAATCGATTTGTATATGAACACGTATAGTTACTATTTTTCTTAGTATGGGAAAACAGAATAATAAAAAACTAGTAGTGTTTACATTTATATGAAATATGGAAGGCGGAAGGCACTGGCCACACCAAATTTTTTACTAAAGTTGTTGCTCACAGGAAAATGATACAGAAGCTTCATGTAACTGAATTTAGAACTGTATGTAACAGTAAGCACAATAATTATAAATTAATTCATTTAGCAATAAAAGAACAATGCATGAGAAATAAGGAAAAGAGCAAAATAAATCCTATTTTTAAATTTCTCAAATCAAGGAAAAAAATAAATTCGTTTCAAACTAAAAATTAAAATACTAAAGAAAAAATTTAATCTTCCTTGAAATGAATAAATAAATGAAATTAAAATATGTTGCAAAAAGGAAGAATGTATTTTTAAATAATTAATCTTATTTACAGAATTAGTTTGAGTGGGAAGATGCAAAAAAATTAATGTAACTTACAATTTCATTAACTATTCATTAACTATTAAAAAACTTAAAAATAAATAAATAAAAAGTTCAACATATACTCGTAATAAAAGATATCTAATCATAGATATAACGTATTCTATAACACGAGACAAGTTTTTACCTTACAATTAGATTTGAGTGTGTAATCCGCGCATTTTTTAACATATTATGCGCCTTAGGACAAAAGAAAAGCGTGTACAAGACCGAATTATTTTTAAAAGATTAAAAATAAGTTTAGTTTCATAAATAATATAGAATTCACATGCAAAATATACAAAATTAATAACTTATATGAGCCCATTCGAAATTCAAACCATTAGCTCATATTATTCTTAATATTATTATTGAAAACGGATCGTACGGTTAATTTTTAGTGCAATTTTTAGTTAATAAATATGATTAATGGGAAATATTTCATTTTACAAAATTTTAGCAGTTTATATTTCTGAGGTTTACATCAAAAGGTTACATATCTACTTAGTCGAAAAAAAGACTATACATCTAGTTAAAGAAGTGTGTGTGTGTGTATTTAATTATGGAAAAGCACTCTAGGGCTATCTGCCTAAGGGGAGGGATGCCTTCGTGGAGGACTTTCTAAGGGA